TAGCCGATTTTTGCTGTAGTCCAAAAATATTTTATAAAAAGAAATCCGCGCAAGTACGCAGATCCAAAATCTAGTTGTCTATTTACAAGCGCAAACAAAAAGTCGAACCATAAAAGTTGATTTTTGTTGTATGTATATATTTACCTACATTATTTTTGTTCTGGTTAACTTATAATAAAATCAAGATGTTAAGGGTTTTAATATACCTCGGCAACAGAAAGATGGAAAGTGTGTTGTACTCCTCCTGGAACACTGACTTTATCAAAAATCATACCAGGGTAGATTGATTTATGAACTTGGACATAACCTCCTGGGCATAACGCATTGTAACAACCGTTTTGTTGTTTATCTGACTATAATATATAATTAGTATAGTGCATATAATTTTTGATGATGTGGTTACACCAAAATAAACCAAAGACATTTTGAATTTTCATGAAACTCAAGAACAAATATACTATTATACATTACGCACTCACCATCCAATACGTTGTTAGCCTTGGACGGTTATCTCGATATAGTATCGTATCCACCTGTGAATCAAGTGGAAAGTTAAAGAGGTGTTGGTTGAATTTGAATATAAGATTATATATATTTAACTAAATCGATTAAAAGTGAACGTAAAAAAATATTTTTCAGTTTGAGTAATGTAATATTGCTTTTAGATATTCATAAACTAGAACCGATCGAAAATCAAGACTGAATACCAAGATAAGTTTTAAAATGTTTAATATGATTTTACACTTTCGATGTATCAAAAGAGTTAATATGGAATTTCAGCTAAACATTAGAAACTTCATTTTATTATCTCTTAATTATTATATGGGAAAAAAAAGAAACGCAGATTCTTTCACAAAGTAAAAATATAAACTAATTGAAACAAACCAAAACTGATCTGTATCAGAACTGATTTTACATCGGCCACTATTCTTCCAAAAATAAAATGACAGGAAATTCATAAACCTAAAATTAAAATCCTGATTATACACCTTTAATATATATATTCCGGGAAAAAAAGACTAAACTTCTCGACTAAAGACCTTTAGTTAGAATATGTTTGAATATTTGATGAATTTTCACCAAATAAAAGAAAAGCTAAAACTAAATAAGTTGAGTTTGTAGTACTTACAGCCACACCAAACTGGATGCTGCTCATTACGTTCATATGCATGTAATTAAGCCAAATCCAAGCCTTACTATACTGATTTTGCACCACTCGCGGCTTGATAATATTGAACAATGCTTGTGCTCCACGCCATTTTTTAGTCGTGTTACCAAATGTCCTGATAATTGCATACTTAAAATAAAAACAAAATTATTCATGTGTTACTATTATAAGATATTTATTCTAGTAATTAGTATATGTTTAATGGGCTTTTTTGCAGCTCAATGTACTTACATGTTGATTGTACTCCTTATATACTTTTAAAAGGCAGTGATGCATTTTGTTCTTTTTTCTCTTCCTTTCAACCCCACAAACTTGTTTCAGGAGACAGCGTAAAACAGAGAAAAAATTGTGGCCATAGTTAAGTAAAACAGAAAGACTAATATTATCTATTGATCACAGAATTAAGAAGCCTTAAAAATTGAAAACTGGACAGTTTATTCCAAAACTGTAAGTATTCATTTCTATGTTCGCAGTTATCTATTTAGCTTTTTTTGCATTTTTGAAAAATCTTAATTTTTATTATTTGAAATACTCTATAAACTGTAAACTTTTAAAAAAATTGTTTGCATTTCGTATTTATCTTTACAATTCTCACAAAAATATTTTTTGTTATAAGTACAATTTTCAAAGATAACAGAGGGAAAAAAACTTACCTAAAAATGTTACATCAAAACTCCAAAAATTAACCTATTCGACTAAGAAAACTCGAGAGATATATGAGTTAAACTCATCGTCAAAGTTGATTAATGTTAAGAAGACGAAGGCAAGAGCGTTTACCTTCTTTACTAAATTGTCGGGGATAGATAAGATTATCGGTGAAGTTGGTTTTTGGTTTGTGATTCGGTACTTGTCCTTTAGAACATTCTTCTGATCCTTTCAAAATGATCTTTGTGGTTGTGTCATCAGTAGAAGTAAAGAGCATTGACAAAAGCTCTCGACTTGGTTTCATCTAAATTCATATATATGAATAGAGGTGAATCCTCTTCCACAGTTTAACACATTAGTATTTTAAATAAATTTACAAATGACAAGTATTAAATTAATATCAAAACAATTAAAAAATCATCATTAAAAAAACTATATTAGTTAGACATGTTCTATATATCATTAATATATATGGAGAATATGAAACGTCTTATTTATATATTAAGATGGCAAAACTCAGATCCATATTGAAAAAATTGTAAAAGTTTATTTATTTTTATATTGAGATGGGAAACCAAATTATTTTATATATTATACAGCAAATAATCAAATTCATATTGAATAGATTATATATGAAATAAAAAATACTTGAGATATAAAAAATCAGAGAAAACTAATTTCTGCCAAAGTTGAAGACGGAAACAAATTTCTATACATCAATTTAGCGGAAAAAAAAAATTGACGACATGTTTATGGAAGCAGAGAGAGCAATTTAGTCAGGTCTATGCAGCTCTAATGATAAGTATATAAAATTGTATTAGACAACTATGTTTGATCGGTATCTATAATATAATAAGTCTCCCTAAAAATAATATATATTGTTATAAACTAATTGATAATATACATTAAATTCTAGTATAGTTTTATATAGAATAACTGTACTAGGAAAATTTACAATATTTACACAGTAATACATTATTTATTAAAAAAATATAAATATGAAATTCATACAGAAATACTTTATTGTTTATAACAAAATATATTTTCGAAAAAAAACTGTGTGTGCGGGTATAAGTCTAGTAAATAAATAAACGACAACAAATATGTTTATACTAACAAATTTATTTACAAATTAAATATTGATGTAGTATATGTTTATTGGAAACAATTGATACCTGTATTTGATGATTCTTCATTATAGGGAGTTGTAGTGCAGATTGTTCGTACATAGGGACACATTCAAATTCGGGTTCTTGATTCTGAAATACATTTTGACACTTTTGAATATGGGAAATTGACAAGTTTAGTATAACAAATAAATAATTGTTATGGAATTAACGTACCAGAGTTGGTTCAGCAATACAACTGAGGCATATTAAACCTACGGAGAATAACGTTAACCACAAGGACACCATTGCGATAAGATTCGGAATCTACCAAAGTTCACATACAGGTGCTGATCGATTCCACGATCAGTGGAATTAGAATCAGGATCCTAAGACTATTCCTTGCGAGGGATGCAAGTCTCTACACAAAAACTCAAGTGATTAAAGATTCCAAAAAAATTTAAGAGCTCGCAAAAACATAAACTTAAATGAACAAATCTCACAAGTTATATTTCAATTTTAAAACTGTATCTTTTACAATGGTATTAATGAGATTTTCATAGTTCTTACAAAATATGATTTTCATAATAAATATATTTAAAATAAAATATTCAAATTTAAATAAAGAGATTAATTAAAATGGTCAAATAGCTAATTTTAAGAGATTTATAGTGTGAATGAGAATAAATAGGTTGACCATGTCTTTATGCTCTTGAAGATTGAAAACTTGTGGTTTGAAAAATGGTTTAGGAGTTAGACATCCTTTATGACACATTGGTTGACTAAGAACAACAAATGTGAAGAACGCATCTTGAGTTAAATTTTTCTGGAATAGAACCAAGTTGACCCGTTTTGAGAAATAGGGTATAGCTTGAAAATCCGGTGGGCATATCTTCGGATTTTGGTCTTTCTGAAATTATGAAAGATCCAATAATATTCTCCAAGTAGTCTCGAGTCGAGAACATTGCTGAGTTGGGCTGTGCAGCTCGATATTTGATTTTGTCATGTAGTTGACTTTGAAACAAGTCTATCTACTTGTAGGATCAATAACTTCCAAGTCTAAACCGGTATTGATGTGAATTCAATTCGAAGATCTTCTCTGCTGGACAAATATTTTATAACAATCTGGTTTGTAGCTTAGTTCCTCCTGTTCTGATCGGAATTCTTCATTTAATGCGTGTATGTCTGATTCGGTTAAACTCGAGATCACCAGTTTTATAAGCTAAATTAAGTTTTCATCAGAATTGTGATTGGGACTGATTCAACTTCGTCATGAATCCCTGTTGAGTCAAACTTCTGAAATTGATTAATTTGTTACTTAACTCATTCTGGTTGACTAGATATAAAAGGCACATATATCCTAATCGGGCTTTTGGTGGCTGGAGTGATTTGTTTAATGGAGTTCTAATTCAGCTACTGATTTTATTACCGCATCTTGAGATAGAGATGGACGCACGTTAGGGGTAACGGGTCACGTGCCCCGGCTAATTTTGTTTGTACTTTAAGTAATTTTATGATTATGTTCTTCTGCTCACTTAAATTATATGATAGTGTCCCCAACTAAATCAAATTTTATGATGATGCCCTAGCTAAAAAAATCTCCTACATCCGCCACTGACTGCATCACATTGTTTTTTTCCTTTTCAGTTAAAATATATAAAGGCTTTGCATTATAAAACCAAGAAATTCCGTTTTCAGACCTTAAAAATCTATATTTGTGTAACTTAACAAATCATCTTTATTGATATACGGTTAAACTACTGTTCATGACTTTGTATAATTATAATCCATTACGTTTGTCTAATTTTGTTAATGTTGTGTAATTATAACATACGATTAAAGGCTTTTGCATTGATAATAATAACTTGGGAAAGTTCCGTTTTAAGCCTACACAATATCTGTAACAATTAAGGGCAAAAGGTTGGTACAGTTCATGATTTTGTGTAATTGAAACTTCCATGATAAGAGTTTCATTCCATTTCCCTAATTTTCGCTATTTTGATGGTAAAAAAGGCATTGCATTGACAAATATAATCAAGGCTGGTATTAAAGATAATTTTTTTCTTTTGTTTATTAAACTATCACTTACCACATTGTCCACCAGGTCCTCCAAATGTTAGGGTCTCTCGAGAATCAGAATCTACATACTTATGGTACATTACACCATAACACTTAGGATTATCAACATAAGATTCGACCTCGTTGGAATTAATGTCCTCTATTGTATAATCTGAAATAACATATTTAAGCTGTTTCATGAAACAGGACCGAGTCAAATCTTTTGTGGGAAAATCTCCAGTTCCCATTGGTGGGCTTGGGGTGTCAGGCAATGTAGTTCCAGCAAATCCACCGAAGTAAACCTCAGAAGCTCCTTCTGCCATGTAAGTTTGACGTGGCCAATAGCCTATCATTTCGGTTCCTATCGTCAATACCCAATTTTTGGTAACTGTATCCTGCATTTATTAATATTGAACAACTTTAGTTACCCACTTACTCATATATAAATTTGAAAGCAATCTATAATATACATTAAGACCATGCAAGACTTATATTTATACTTATTGTTTGTTTGTGAACGCAAAGAAACCAAAGGTAATTTGCAAACGAAAAAAATAATTAAACCTAGTTACTTTTCAAAAGTAAGGCTTTATTATACCTCGGCAACAGAAAGATGGACAGCCTGTTGTTCTCCTCCTGGAACACTTATTTGATCATAAACCATACCAGGGTAGATTGATTTATGAACTTGGATGTAACCTTCTGGGCATAACGCATTGTAACATCCATCTTGTTGATTTTCCGACTGTAATATATAATTAGTGCATATACACTTGATTATGCTTACGCCAAAATTAATCAAAACATCTTAATTTTTTCATGAAACATCAGAAATAAATATCCTAATTCATTACTCACCATCCAAAATGTCGTCAGTCTTGGACGGTCATCTTCATATAGTTTTGTATGTACCTATGAAGCGAGCAAGAAGTTATTATAAAATGAAACTAATTTTAATTTGATTAAAATATGTAGTTTTACCTTTTAGATATCCAAAAAACTAGAAACATAATCTAGAGGATCTAAACTCGATTTAAATATTAAAACGAGTCGTAACATGGTTAATATAATTTTAGGCAAAATATACTGAACCGTATAAACTTTATTTTTGTATCTGTTATACAGAAAAGAAATTCAACTTATATATAATAAACGAATAAACCAAAACGAATGTGTATTAGATTAATGGATTTTACATCGGTTACTGTTCTTTAAAAAAAAAACTAAAACTAGTAATTTAAGTTTATAGTAATATACTTACAGCCACACCAAACTCGATGCTGCTCCTTACGTTCATTTGTATGTAATTAAGCCAAATCCAAGCCTTACTATACTGATCTTGCGCCACTTGCGGCTTGTTAATATTGAACAATGCTTGTGCTCCACGCCACTTTTTGGTCGTATTTTCAAATGTTCTGATAATTGCAAACTATAAAATAAAAGCAAAATTGTATTACGATTATAAAAAAAAAACCATTCAATATCATTTTTGGAGTGTACTTACATGTTCATTGTACTCCCTATCTATATTTGGCGTGTAGTGAGGCTTTTTGCTTCTTTGGAACGTTGTGGAATAGGAGGTATGTTTATTATTGGTTAAGTTGGTTCTCGGTTTGTGAATCGGTACTTGTCCTTGAGGGCATTCTTCTAATCCCTCTAAAACAACCTCTAGGGTTGTCTCATCATTAGTAGAGAGCATTAATGAAAGCTCTCGACTTAGTCTAGTCTACAAAAACAAAAACGACAACGGTAAGTTTTATTCTGAAAAAAAAAAAAGCTTGATTTAGTATGTTTAGACTTTAGAGCACCAGTATTGGTGAGCTGCACATAGGTTCTAAAAGTAAAAAAATAAAAAAAGTTTAGAAAAAAATGATGTGGCGAGACTCTACCACAGAATAGACTCTATGCACATAGTCTGTAGAGTTGTTTCTCACCTGACGTGGCGAAACTTGATTCGTCACTTTTAACTTTTTAAAAAAAAAAATTTTTGAAAATCAATTTTTTTTTAAAAAAAAAGTTTTTCCTTCTGCGGTTCACCAATACTGGTGCTCGTAGTGGCAAACAATTGATACCTGTATTTGGTGATTTTTCATTAGAGGGTGTTGTAGTGCATATTGTTCGTACATAGAGATACATTCGAATTCGGTTTCCTGATTTACATTTTAACATTTTTTAATATGAGAAATTGATAAGTTCGGTACATCAAATACTTGTTACATAATTCACGTACGTACCAGAGTTGGCTTAGCAATACAATTGAAGCATATTAGACCTAAGGAGAATAGCGTCAACCAAAGTGAAGCCATTGTTTTTCTTTCTTTCTTATTTTATAAGTTTTTAGTATTTTGTTATGTTCTAGGAAGATTGGTTATTTCTCTACTTATATTGTTCTCTAAAGGCAGAGAAGGAAGAAAATATCGTAAAGCCCAAAAGTCTAAAACTGGTCTAGAGATTTCATAACATAATCAGATATATACTGAGAGAGAGTTTTTCCCCCTCTTAAGGTGTTTGCATCAAGAAAAAAATACACTATACTAAAATTTTCTGTGTGTTGTTTTTCAAAATACACTATACTTGTTTGTTATCTAAAGTACTAATAACAAACAAGCTAGTATAAGAAAATATACAAGAAACAACACTGAATACAAGATCAAGTAAACTGAATGAAAATGTTCATAAAAATATATATAGTGTAGCCTAAATAAATTAATACTCGATAAAATAATATTTTTTTGCTAATCCTAAAATTAGATTTTCAACCAAATAATATATTTATAAATTAATAATCTTTATAAATTAAAACAAAATTGTAAAAATTGCATAGTCACAACATTATAAATTTATAGAAGTTTTACTGTATAATTACATTAATTTGAATATATTATGCATATTAACTAAAATTTTCTATGTATTGTTTTTCAAAATACACTATACTTGTTTGTTATCTAAAGTACTAATAACAAACAAGCTAGTATAAGAAAATATACAAGAAACAACACTGAATACAAGATCAAATAAACTAAATAAAAATGTTCATAAAAAATATATACAGTGTAACCTATATAAATTAATATTTGATAAATTATTTTTTTTTTGCTAGTCCAAACTTAGATTTTCAACCGTATAATATATTTATAAATTGATAATATCTATAATCTAATAAAGTTTTGTAAATTTTATAGTCACAACATTATTAATTAATAGAGATTTTAACATTATTAATTAATAGAGATTTTATTATATAATTATATTAATTTTAATATATTGTGCGTATTAACTAAAATTTTCTATGTATTGTTTTTGAAAATACACTATACTTGTAAACTATCTAAAGTACTAATAATAAGCAAGCTAGTATAAGAAAATATACAAGAAACAACACTGAATACAAGATCAAATAAACTAAATGAAAATGTTCATAAAAATATATACAGTGCAATCTATATAAATTAATACTCGATAAATTAATATTTTTTTGCTAATCCCAAAATTAGATTTTCAACTAAATAATATATTTATAATTTAATAATCTCTAGAAATTAATAAATCTTTGTGAAATTTTATAGTCCCATCATTATAAGTTTATAGAGGTTTTTACTGTATAATCATATTAATTTGAATATATTGTGCATATTATAATTATATATTAATAAATAAAATTGCATTTAAAATTAAATCTAACTAATAATTTGGAATGAGTTTCATAAATTTTAAAGTAAAAAAAAATCTACTGGGTTTAATGAATTTCATTTGATTTAATTGTAAAAGTATTCATTCAAATTTATAAGGGAATAAATAAAACAAACATTAGTATGCATAATCTGAGAATTTTATTTATTTTCCCTATAAATCTGAAAGAAGATCTGAAGTAAACAATAGTATGCGTAATCTCAGAATTGTTTTTTGCATGAATGTATTATGAAAAAACTATAAAGTATATATTATTTCATCTACATTGTACATTGTTTCAAAGTAATAAAATTTAGTATACATCTACATTGTACATTGTTCAACTAACGAGGTGATCCCTTATAAGTTATATAAACAAAAGATCATGTAAACATGAAGAAGCGAGTAGTAGTAAACTAATAAATCCTAGAAAGCTATATTATCACCACATTCCATAGTCACCGATTAAACTATCGTCATTAATGACGAGACCGTCGACACACAAATATACCATCATCGATGCTCAAGTGTATAATGAAATAAACCATTGGAGTCATTATTTGAATAAAAGTATATACGGGATATTATTTGAATAAAAGTCATTATACTTAATTCCACAAAAATTGCTAACAACATAAATTAAAATAATTAAATCTGTTTTTAAAGATAAATAAAATTTTGTTTATTATAATATTATCGAATAGGACAATATCCACCAGGTCCTCCAAAAGTAAGAGTTTCTCTCGAATCATAATCTACATACTTAAGAAACATTACGCCATAACACTTTTGATTATTAACATAATACTCCATCTCATTGGAATTAATATCCTCTAATGTATAACCAGGAATAACATATTTAAGCTGTTTCATGAAACAGGACCGAGTCAAATCTTTTGTGGGAAAATCTCCAGTTCCCATTGGTGGGCTTAGGACACGAGGGGATGCAGTTCCAGCAAATCCACCGAAGTAAACTTCACCAGCACCTTTTGCCATGTAAGCTTGACGTGGCCAATAACCTATCATTATGGTTCCTGTCGTCAATACCCAATTTTTGGTCACTGGATCCTGCATTCACATATAATTTTGAAAGCAATTTAGACCCTATTAATACTCATTGTTTGTTTACAAGCGCAAACAAAAAGTCGAACCATAAAAGCTGATTGTTTTGTCGTATGTATATTTACCTACATTATTTTTGTTCTGGTTAACTTATAATAAAATCAAGATGTTAAGGGTTTTAATATACCTCGGCAACAGAAAGATGGAAAGTGTGTTGTATTCCTCCTGGAACACTGACTTTATCAAAAATCATACCAGGGTAGATTGATTTATGAACTTGGACATAACCTCCTGGGCATAACGCATTGTAACAACCGTTTTGTTGTTTATCTGACTATAATATATAATTAGTATAGTGCATATATATATATATATATTGATGATTTGGTTACACCAAAATTGACCAAAGACATTTTGAATTTTCATGAAACTCAAGAGCAAATATATATAATACATTACGTACTCACCATCCAATACGTTGTTAGCCTTGGACGGTTATCCCGATATAGTATCGTATCCACCTGTGAATCAAGTGGAAAGTTAAAAAGATGTTGGATTTGAAAAGAAAATTATATATTTAACTAAATCGATTAAAAATGAACGTAAAGATATATTTTTCAATTTGAGTAATATAATATTCCTTTTAGATATTCATAAACTAGAACCGATCGAACCGGTCCAAGATATATATATATATATATATATATATATATATAAGAGAATCAAGATTGAAAACCTAAGATGAGTTTTAAAATGGTTGATATGATTTGACACTTTAGATGTAGCAAAAGAGCTAATATGGAATTCCAGCTAAAACATTAGAAACTTTACATTTTATTATCTCTTAATTATAAGAATAAAAAAAAGAAACGCAAATTCTTTCACAAATTAAAAATATAAACTAATTGAAACAACATCGGCTACTATTCTTCCAAAACTAAAATGACAGGAAATTCATAAAACTAAAATCAAAATCCTGATTATACACCTTTAGAATAAATTCCGGAAAAAAAAACTAAACTTCTCGACTAAAGACCTTTAATTAGAATATTTTGATGAATTTGTATCAGAACCGATGTTTGAATATTTGATGAATTTTTACCAAACAAAAGAAAAGTGAAAACTAAATAAGTTGAGTTTGTAGTACTTACAGCCACACCAAACTGGATGCTGCTCATTACGTTGTAATTAAGCCAAATCCAAACCCTACTATACTGATTTTTCGCCACTGGCGGCTTGATAATATTGAACAATGCTTGTGCCCCACTCCATTTTGTAATCGTATCACCAAATGTCTTGATAATTGCATACTAGAAATACAAACAAAATTGTTCATGTGTTATTATTTTAAAATATTGATTATCTAGTAATTGGTATATGTTTAATGGGCTTTTGCAGCTCAATGTACTTACATGTTGATTGTAGTCCTTAGTAAGTTGTTGGGGATAGATAAGATTATCGGTTACGTTGGTTTTTGGTTTGTGAACCGGTACTTGTCCTTTAGAACATCCTTTTGATCCTTTCAAAATGATCTTTGTGGTTGTGTCATTATTAGAAGTAGAGAGCACTGACAAAAGCTCTCGACTTGGTTTCATCTATAATAAATTAATAAATGACAACAAGTGGGTTTATTCAAAAAAAATTATTTACAAAGCTTGATGTAGTATATATGTTTAATGGAAACAGTTGATACCTGTATTTGATGATTCTTCATTAGAGGGAGTTGTAGTGCAGGTTGTTCGTACATAGGGACGCATTCAAATTCGGGTTCTTGAACCTGAAATACATTTTGACGCTTGTTAATATGAGAAATGGACAAGTTTTAGTATACGAAATAATCAATTGTTATGGAATTAACGTACCAGAGTTGGTTCAGCAATACAACCGAGGCATATTAGACCTAAGGAGAATAACGTTAGCCATAGGGAAGCCATTGTTGTTCTTTTCTATTCCGTTAAAATATTTAAAGGCTTTGCAGACCTACAAAATCTATATTTCTGTGACTTATCAAATCTTCTTTATTGATACGGTTATATACCACAGTTCATGATTTTTGTATAATTATAATCCATTACGTTTGTCTAATATTTATTATGAACATGATTGGTAATAGCTTGATTGGTAATAGCTGTAGCTTTATATTTTTGCTGTAAAAATATGACTGTAAATTTTTTTGCTGTAGCTGTATATTTTATTTCTTTAAAACTTTGGCTGTAGAATTGTAAAATTTGAGAAGGTTTAGAAAAAAAGATTTTGTACAGACAAACAAATAAAAAAGGAAATATTTTGGCCATAAACAAATAAAAAAAGAAAGTTTATAAAGCATAATTAGTATGATTTAGAGCTATAAATATAAATATTGTTGTATACAGCCTTATGCTCTGTTATTATGACATACAATTAAAGGCTTAGGGTGTGAGACAATGTAGTTCCAGCAAATCCACCGAAGTAAACATCAGAAGCTCCTTCTGCCATGTAAGTTTGAAGTGGCCAGTAGCCTATCATTATGGTTCCTATCGTCAAGACCCAATTTTTGGTCACTTTATCCTGCATTTATTATATATACGTTGAATTTGTTTTCTGTATAACAGATACAAAACTATATTACTAAAAACTCAAATTCAACTTTAAAAAAAAAAAAACCTAAAACTAGTAGTTTGAGTTTTTAGTAATATACTTAGAGCCACACCAAACTCAATGCTTTAAACAATAGTATGCATAATCCGAGAATTGTTTTTTGCATGAATGTATTATGAGGAAATTATAAAATATACTAGGTAATAACTCGCACCCTGTGCGGGATGAAATAATAATTATTTATTTAATATAGAATAATTTTTAAATCATATAGCAAAATAAAATTGATTTTATATGAGTTGTTTATAACATTATGCTGTAATATTGACAAAAATAATTTTTTTGTTTATTTTACGAAATATAGGGTAATTTAATTCTCATGTAAATTAGTTTAAAAATTAAATATATGTGCGCAATTTGAATAGATATACGAAGTTACTCTTTATATTTTCTATAACTCATATTAATAACTTAAAATTCAAAAAATAGAGGAAGTATATTTTGATTAAATTATTAAGTATCTAATGCGTTATGATGATAATAATAAAATTTACTACTTTCTCTGTTTTATAATATTAGTTTTTTTAAAGTTTTGTTTTGTTTCACAATATAATTGTATTCATTTTTTTTACTACTTCCTATGAATACTATGTGACCGATTATATATTTTAATTTTTCATAATTAGTTGAATTATATTTAATTTATATACTAAATGATTACTTTTTTAAAGAAAAATTACTTTTTAATCTTTGTGCTTTGATGCAAAACAATTTATATTTTGAAATAGAAAGTATTAAAATAGTAAAAATAAAATTTGTTTCATAATATTTTTTTTAAGGTTTTGTTTTGTTTCACAATATAGTTGTTTTTATTTTTTTTACTATTTCCTATGAATACTATGTGACCGATTATATTTTTCAGTTTTTCATAATTAGTTGAATTATATATAATTTATATACTAAATGATTACTTTTTATAAAGAAAAGTTGCTTATTATTTTTTGTACTTTGATGCAAAACAACTTATATTTTGAAATAGAGAGTATTGAAATTGTAAAATAAAATTTGATTATAAGATTTTATAATCGATTTTAATATTTCTTATACAAATATGAATGCATATTCAGATTAATCCGTAAAAACTATAGTCATAAGAATATTAACTTTTAAGAAAACAATTACTGTAAAATTTATTTTAAATACTAAATATACATAAGGATTATATAAAAATAGTTATTTTTAAATAAATTATGTAAAATTGTATATAACTGAGTCAATACTTTTACATTCTTAACTTTTTGATTCAATAAAAATATTTTTAATATCAAAAAAGTTTAATAAAATTATTATATAATATCCTTACAAAAATATTTTAATTTTTTACCAAGTTATTTTTTGTATAAACTAAAAATTTATGATATTTAACTTTTTAATCAAATAAAATATTTATAATATTATATTCTATTAATATATTCAACTATTTTTTATAGTTCAACTTTTTATTAATATTTTGTACTTATTATAAAGTTTAAATATTCATATTATTTGGTTAATTTATATGGTTCTAAAACCATATGAAACCAAAAATAATTATAATAATAATATCTATTAAATTAAGCTTCCTGTTTTTTTTATCATTTATGTATTTTTATATTGATTTATGAATCATCTATCTACACATCCTTATTTTCAATTTTTGTCTTTGAAAACATACTTTTATTTATTAATCATTTGAGTAATTTATATTTTTTTATGAAATTCGAATTATAACACAGAATATATATATATATATATATTATTTTTTTACTATATGAATGATGTGATGATTTTTATTTTTCTACAAAAATAAAAGATAAAATATAATATTTAAAAAAATAATTAATATGATATATTTTTGGTAAGAAATGGAAAAGAGAATATCTTGATGAATCATCATCAATATAATTGATATAAACTAATGTATAACCAAATTAATGTAAGTGGCATAACATGTAATTAATCTAGTAACATAAATCTATTTTTATAACTTTGCTAAAAATAATTATAGTGATGACACATCAGCAAAATAGCATCACTGTAATATTTTATAAAATTAAGATTATTCTTTAAAAATACTTCTCTTATAATATATAGGAAATATTATTTCATCTACATTGTACATTGTTTCAAAGTAATAAAATTTAGTATACAGCTACATTGTACATTGTTCAACTAACGAGGTGATCCCTTATAAGTTATATAAACAACAGATCATGTAAACACGAAGAAGAGAGTAATAGTAAACTAATAAATCCTAGAAAGCTATATTATCAGCACATTCCATAGTCACCGATTAAACTATCATCGTCAATAACGAGACCGTCGAGTTAAAAAAAAAAAAAATAATGAGACCGTGACACAAATGATTCCATCATCGATGCTTAAGTGTATAATGAAATAAATCATTGCCGTCATTATATTGAATAAAGTATGAGACATGTGTTTACCCCATCGAGACTTTCTTTTTTAGTAAAATAAAATGGGCGTAGAAACCAATTTTGCATATTGATTGGACTTGATCATCTATCTGATTCTCTCTTTTCGTTTAGTTATTTGATGTAAAAAGCTTGCATAGATCAGGCGAAAAGGCGAGAAAGAAAATCGGAATCTCAAGAGTTTCCTATTTTTTTCAATTTGAAGCAGATAATTTAAGCCATTGTTTGTGAATAAAATATACAGAGAAGACAAATGTTGGAAAAGTGTTAACCAGAGAAGAGATTCTACGCAAGATAGTTATATATCTGAGGGTTGCTCTTGTCCCTCTCCAAGTATTCTCGATCGATCAAACTCTCGATTCTCTTCTTCAGATCAGCCGGTTTTATTGGGAATTTCAGCTGCAAATCACAAAAAAAGATAATCCACATTATTGCATTTACAATGATAAATGACAACTCTCATCTTCATCATCATCTTCATAACAACAAGGGTCGAGATTTTAGTACATAACCAGTAGGCTTGGACCGAGAGTAACGAATCTCACGGCCTTTTTCATTAAACAACATTGTTACTTGTCCAAGATATAACTCCATTACTTTTAGGTCTATATGTAGTTCCATTTATTTCATATTTCAGACCATCACGACAGCATGAAGAAAGTTTACCTGTTGGAAGAGCTCAGTGATTAGAAGAGTATGGCTCAAGACTTTTCTTGTCTTCATAATTCGAACAATGGCTGCATCGATCTGTAAGAGAAGGTTGCGATTGGGGAAAGTCATTTCTCTCAAATCTTTTCTTGTTCAAGGAACCAAAACTGTAAGAAAGATCTAACAAAAACAGGAGCAGAATGATACCTGGTATTGTCGGTCCTGGAATACTCTCTCTGTTGTGCTCGTGTTCTCTTCTACTGTCTCTTTCATCTGGATTGCATTCACCTGAAACCCAAAAAGATAATAATTTGGTTTATTATATGCTAAAAGGAAACAAAAGAGAGTATTTCGAGATTCTGCGAAACTTAAAAGTGAAGCAACCAAAAAAAAACAAATGATGTACCTTAATGCGATACAGAGGAGCTGTAAAGCTGTCATTGAAATCAAATTCATCCCCGTCTTGTACGTCTCTTCCCTTTGGATACTGCAAGAACATTTACGTAAGGCACATCAATATGAGAAAAAAAAAGAAGAAGCAAAGCCACGATCTCAGTAGTTTCTGCATTAGTATAAAGGCGAGTTAACAAAGTCCAGAATTTAGCCTTAACCTTCTGCAGGACACGAACTTTCCCACAAGCAAGGGACTGCAAAGTCCTTCTCAGTTCCTTGTCCTCTATGCCAGTGGAGTCTTTAATGTCTTCGAAGCTAAGTTTCATCGCATCGTTGAATAACATCAATACAACAGCCTGAGACAGTAAAAAAACAACACATCTTCTAAGCAATGGATTCATAAGACGAGTAAAAGTCGAAACGAATGACAGGAAAAGCTTGAAAAGGTTAACAGAGAAAAAAATCGACTGACCTGAAACAGGGAAACAGCAAGCTCCTTTTTCCCTTTAAGGAAATCTGCCTTCAAAACACAGTGACCTAATGAGTTTTGCCACATTAGCCTCCTACCACTGTACTTGCTTAAATAAAACTCTTTGAAGATATCCTACGAAACAAACAGATAAATTAGAAAAAAAGATTGTACGAAAAGAACCCATTGCGGAAAGGAAAAATATATCAGAAGTTCGAGTAAAACCTGATAAACGTTTAATTCATGAGGAAGTTTGACATCCATAGGTGGATACGTTGGCCAGTACCTGCATTATACGTTGGAATGTTAACAAGTTTTTTAAATATGTCATGCTAGCCGGTATGTTCCTGGATGAATTCGATACATAGTACAT